GAATGGCCTAAACGTGCGCCTCTCTTCTCAGGATGGAAGAGAGGAGGAAGAAGAGGACGGCTGCAGCCTTTTTGTACTATAGGCTTATCACCGTCGGTTCTTGACTAGAACCGACAGTGATAGAGTCCAATCACTGTCGGTTCTTGGCTTGAACCGGCAGTGATAAGTGGCCGCCAAAATACTACCGGTTCAAGCCATAAACCGGCAGTGATGTGGTCCTTCACTGTCGGTTTTAGCGCAGCCCTAATTATTTTTTCATTTTCAATCTTATAACCGGTAGTAAAGGTACATCTCTGCCGGTTGTTATAAATCTGGCAGTGATGAGACCGACAGTGATGTCCAAATCTAGCGTAGTGACAGTAACTCGTGCAAAACTGATCCTACCCTCCAGTTAGAACAGGCGAACAGCCCACATACAGACTCCCGCGTACACCATGTCGAGCTATGTACCAACAGTTGCAGTGAAGCTGTTCATTGACAAGGAGAAGCAAAGGGTGTTGTTTGCAGAATCTGACAAGGATTTCGTCGACGTGCTCTTCAGTTTCCTGACGCTGCCTCTTGGCACCATCGTTCGGCTTCTTGGCAAGCAATCTGGATTAGGGTGCCTTGATGAGGTGTACAAGAGCGTCGCGAGTCTCAGCATAGATCACTTCCAGACCGAGGCCTGCAAGACCATGCTTCTTGCGCCCCTCAGTTCTGCTGCAACTCAGTGCAGTCGACTTAAAGTGAAGATTGACAATACAAATCCTAGATCAATATATGTTTGCAGGAGTACGACTTGCCATGAGCGTGTCTTCAGTTCAGTTCATAATGCTATTTGCAAAAGTTGTAAAGGTCTGCAGCGTATGCTTCGGGAATTGCCCGGGAATGGTAATGCTGCGGTTGGATATGATGCTGATGGGGTTTTTGTCAAAAGTGGTCGGACGCTAATCATAACAGATGATCTCCAAGTGGCTCCTGCTTCTACATGTCTTATGTTCTCACTGCTCGAGAAGATTGGGCTAAATGAGGGAGCTGGTATTAAGGAGGAGTTTCTGTATCTCGATTACAGCAAAGTTAGTCTCTCAAGTCTCAACTGCAAGATAGTTTCCGTATTTCTCCTAGACTCCTACCTCCAAGGAAGTAATATGTGATAATTAACATTCAGATCCTCAATCCACAGTCACTTCTGAGTACCATAGATCCTCCTGCTTCCCCCTTTTTATTTTAATGCATCTTTTTGGCTGTAGGGGCACCTAGACCCTCCAGTGTTCCTTAAAAAAACTAAGTACCATAACAAAACCCGATGTTTGAACTTCATTTAAGTGATCAGTATATCCGTTTCTCACAGGTAATCAGCTTGCTCAAGCGAACATTGATCTCCAAGGAACCTTTAACTGGCCTGTATTTTGATGCTGTTGCCACGCCGGATGCTGTGCCTGTGAGTCTAGATGAGCTCCCAGTAAATATGTTCGCGAAGGAAGAAAGCAACGACGCACATAAGTTCAATGTTATCAAGATATGAGATGTTTTTAGGTGCTTGGGTGTGGAATTTTTTATTAGCGGTATGATTTAAAAGTAATTAATTAAATATAATTAAGGATAGTTTAGTCATTTTAGTGCAGGCATTACCTTTAATCGTTATCTTTTCCTTTTGCACCGAACGCACACATGCATCAGCGTCGGAGACGGTTCGCCGGCTCGCCGCCGCCGCCACTAGCCTGCACGAGGCGCAAAAGCGCCGGCAGTCTGTCCAGGCTCACCATGGCCTGCCTGCAGGGGCTCGTCGGCGCCCGCCTGCAAGAGCCTGCGGCTTGGCTGGCTGCGAGGGATCTCCGTGGCTCGCTACCAACTGTCTCAAGGAGCTCGACGGCACTGAGCTTAGCAGGGGCTGCTTGGCAATGAGATTTCCATCCTCATCCAATGTAACCGTTCTAGATGAACCACATTCACTACGACAAGACTGATGACCAATCAACGATTCAAGCCTGAGATGGTAATTGGCAATACTGAATTTGTGGATTCAAGCATTTCGGAAACCTGATGCAAGCTTGAATGAAAAACTCAATTTATAACTTCTTAGCTTACTGTGAACCAAATCCGGCAATGAGTTCAATGTGCTTCCTCTAATGAACACAGAATTGTTTTTATACTGTTTATGGATTCTAGGGGAAAAAATAGAAATCAGTTCTGGACCCACTAAATTTAAGTTCCGTCCCACGACTTAAGTTCTTCTTATTAGGTTCCTTCCTATTTTTAACCATTAGATCTAAGTGAATAAAAGGCTCTCATTATTTTCATGCACCGTAAAAATTCTCTCAAGATAAAGCTTATTCAGACTGCAGATAACTCGGCAGTACTCTATGCGGAGGTTGGGCAAGATTTTATTGATCTTATATTTGGCCTCCTTGGCTTTCCACTTGGTTCCATAATCAAGTGCTACGGTCAGTGGCCCACAAATGGATGTGTCGATAATCTTTACCTGAGTGTAGAAGGGAGTGCAAGCGAATGCATAAGAGAAGATTGCCGGAGCTTGCTGCTATCTCCAAAGCGCTGCAAGTTGAAGAATCAAATCCTAGAAGCGTGTTGCTCGACATGTGTTTTCAGTGCTTCAAGGTTGGGGGTGACAAAAAATGCACTTGCTCTTCATATATTCATCGTTGCCATGTGTTTTACGAGACGAACCCGAAATCTACGAGTGGAGTACATGACACTAGTAGAGCATATATCAAGGGAGGGCTAAGAAACTTCATCGTGACCGACGACCTGCGCATCCTTCATTTCTCCTTGGCCAACACACTCCAAGTCATGCGTGCATCCAATATTCCCAAGTAGAAACTCGTGGAGAAAGAACTCAGTCTCGACATAACTCAGGTAATTGTCGACCTATTACTACTATTGAACAATATGTGGTAAAGAATAGATTCCACTTTCAAAAAAAATAAAGAATAGATTCAATCCCTTTTCTCAAATCTCCTGATTTTAGTTTTAGGTTCTCACCAGGTCCTCTGCCTCTGCCTGTGCAGGTCCTGAAGATACTGAGAGCTGCAATAGCGGCTCGTGAGGCACTCAGCAGCGTTCTTCTGCATCCTAAAAAGAAGCGGCTTCCCCATCACTTGAGAGATTCACCTGTCGCCAAACTCATCCGCCAGACGGCCACTGCATCATCTGAGGCCGGGAATCGGAAGCATAGCGCGTTCCTCCTTCCGTGTTTGCATACTGCATCAGTAAAATGTACTAGTAGTACTTGCTAACGTGCCTTCGTGATGGAGGCATCTATTGCGTTCTCATAATATCCTGTTCGCTGTCAATAAAATTGAGCTCTTATGTATCGTCAGAACTTGTCCTACGGAGTACGGATTTCCCCTTGATCTGTGTTGGAGCCTCTGTTCCGGCAGAGCAAGCACACTACAAGGCGTAGTCTATGAAAACGTTTTCCAAGAGCGGGGGCCAATATTCATAGACCAGCCAAGGTCTCTCGATGACTCAACCACGCGTCAACGGATGTGTTCTTGAAAAAGATGACTCGTAATTGTCGAAAGTGAGGGCTGACTCGACCCCATGTCAATGGACATGTTCTTGCAAAAAGATAACTCGACATGACTCGTAATTGGCAAAAGTGAGGGCGATGTACTCCCTCCGTCCTAAATTATGCAATTAAAAATCTTAAATATTATGAAAAATTATGCAATTAAAAATCTTAAATCTTGGTTTAGTTTAGAAGCTTCATAGAAAAAATGTTTTAGCTTAGAAAATATGAAACATGTTTTAGATTTGTCCTAAAATTATGCTCTACCTTCTTATGCATAGATTGGAGTTAATTATTTGAATTTTCCATGGTCCACTGTAGTGTTTATTTGCTAATAGATGCTTCAATTATCTATGGTTCAAAATTTTGGTAGAATTTCATCAAAATTTCACCAATTCTAGTAATTTTGCCGGTGGCCGAAAGAAAGAAAAAAAAAGAAAGTCCATATTACACCAATACATGTACTAACTAACTCTAGACTCACATTTTGTATTGTTTATTTAAGTTGTATATTCTTCTACTCAATAGATGTCGACTCATAAATTACGCTAACATTTTGTTTAGAGCTAAAAATTTTAGAAATATCATACTTCATGTTCAAGTCTCAAAAAATCAGTGAAATTTCGTCGAATTTTGGTAATTTCAGGGGTGGCCGAAAAATTTTTCTAATAACAAAATCGAAAGCCCTGGTTGATGATCATGACTGTGTAGAAGGCCACCTGACATCGACAAAAGCACAAAATTCAAACTATCAAGTAACCATCTCATAGTTTATTCTATTTAGTATGAACACAAATGTCGCTTGGTTCTATCTATGATCCTGTATTCATGTTAGTGCCTCATAAAAAATCATGCCACTAACATTTGTTGTTGTCAAAGTCACTCAGTGCAGCTCGAATTAGTGGGTCACTATATCTAAACTATCTAATACAACTATTGAATGCACTTTAAATTGCGATATATCATGTTTCATATGAACCGAAACATCGGCATTCTCCTTAGCCGTCAAAGGGCTATAAATCGCCATTTAAACTGCCTAAAGGTGTAGAAACAAAGGTAATTCACGGGGCCTTGCCCCTTGACGGGCTTGGAGGGCCGACTTATGGGCCTAAATTGGCTGAAAGCCTGTTATGGCTCGTATCACGGGCTAGGTTTTTTTTATAACGATATATAAATTGGCATCGGTATGAAATGCAGTTCACACAAATAGGAAACTGATCGCCTCTGGATTGAATGGCAGCCCTAAATTCTCCATGTGGAAAACAGGAAAGCGAGAAGTCTCTGAAGTAACTAGCGCTTCAATGCCCGACTCTTCGTGCGAACTGCAAAGAGGCTTTTGTCGTTTCATTTTCTATACTGTGGCCTGTCAGATTCCAGGGCCATTCAGCGCCGGCTGCACCAGGTATTTTAAGGGATCACACTTGCATGTTTCATATAGCACAAGAAGAAACCGTACCACTTCATCAAGCCAAATCACCACCAATAATCCACCATGGCTAAGAATGAAGCGCCGACCATTGGCGTGAAGCTGTTCGTGGATAAGGAGAAGAGAAAGGTGCTCTTCGCAGAGTCCGACAAGGAGTTCATCGACGTGCTCTTCAGTTTCCTCACCATGCCTCTCGGCACCATCGTTCGCCTGCTGGACAAGAAGTCTCAGATGGGGTGTCTCGACGAGGTGTACAAGAGCGTGGAGGATCTCAGCACGGAATACTTCCAGACCAAGGCTTGCAAGGCGATGCTTCTGAAACCGCTCAACGCGGCTTCCAGCCACTGCTGTCGGCTCAGGATCAACATCGATGACACCGTTCCAAGGGTGGTCTACGTCTGCAAAGACACATCCTGCAGCGCTCACAGCGACAACGGGATCAGTTCGATCCCTGACACGGTCTGCAAATGCGGAAAGGTCATGGAGTCCTTTGGGCAGTGCAGAAAATACGACGGTGACACTGAAACCGCTCCTGCTGCTTGTTCGGAGGAAGGAGTTTTCGTCAAAGGTTGCTTGAAGTTTATCGTCACCGATGATCTCCAGGTTGCGCCAGCGTCAACCTCTCTTATGATGTCTCTCTTCGAGAAATTTGGTGTGCGGGATCCAGCTGTTCTTGAGCAGCAGGTTGTACAGTTCAGTTCAGAAAAGGTTTGTCTATCACAATGCTCAAATTCTTTTTTTTTGTCAGGCCCCCCCTAATTGCAATGAACTTACCGACTTAACGATCCATTTCATGAAGATAACATGCTTGCTGAAGAGATCGTTGACATCCAAGCAACCTCTAACAGAGCACTATTTCGATGTTCCTGTCCCACACGATGATGCAAGCCTAGGCACGCTCGCTCAGGACTTGAATCCTAAACAAGAAGATGGGGACGAGGAAAGGCTAGGAAATCTGAAGATCAGGGTTCTTCAGATGAAAAACAACTCTGCTCTGCTGTATGCTGAAGTTGATGGCGATTTTGTGGATTGTCTCTTTGGCTTACTAAGCATTCCGCTGGGATCCGTAATGAAGTCATTTGGTCAGTGCTCAGCAAAAGGCTGCCTCGATAATCTTTACAAGAGCATAGATGGGGGTGCTAAAGAATTCGTCAGACAAGATTGCCAGAGCGTCCTACTGGCTCCGAAGTTGCCACCCTGGTTTGGGTGTCGCGCTTCTAAGATCCTTCAGGTTGACGAATTAGCTCCAAGAGAACTGACGATCAATGCCTGCTTTTCGTGCTTCAAGATTGGAAGGTTTTCAGATTGTGACCGTTGTCATAGGTACGATTATTCTCGTAGGTATCATATTTGCACAAATAAGGTGAAGTCCAGTAAACTTTGTGAGGCGAATCCAAAGATACAAATAGGTGGAAGCGAAAAAGGAGATGCATACGTGAACGGGAAGCATACGAAATTCGTGGTCACTGATGACCTGCGTGTTCTTCCACTCTCCTTAGCATCCACTGTTAAGATTGTTAGTGAGGCCAAAATTCAGACGTCGAATCTTGTGGAGAAAGAAATCACACTGACCAAGTCCCAGGTATCTAGTGCTACGCAGTTTATTAGTACAGCTTTATAACTCGCTACTTTTTTTGGCTTTGTGCTAGACTATTCACTTCTCTGTGCTACTGGTACTTGGAACAGGTTATGGAGCTCCAAAGGGCTGTGCTGCTGAGTCGCAACACACTCAGCTCTGTGCTTCTGCCTCCTAAGAAGATTAAGAAGCTGAACCATCTCAGATATTAACAGTCGCTGCTTTTCTCAATAATTAGCCACAATAACTATATCAGTGTCGCTGCTCTTCTCAATAATTAGCCACAGTAACTATATCTGTGTTCCCCTTGCTGGATTTGTAAGTTAGATATTTGGTACCTACTACAGTTGAGGATAAACATATCGAGCATAACATAAAAAATTTGAATCGAGCGTAACATAAACATTTGAAGCGAGCGTTGGTAGGGCCACTCGAAAGCGTGAGCGTGCCCCTCTGCCAAAAATTGAGACGTCCATATTTCCCGTTGGGAATACGGCTAAGGCCGCAGGCCACCTTTGAGATTGGCCCTTGGCTCCGTCTGGTTGATATGATTTTTCGATGCTAACTGCACATGCCGCACAAGGTGTTGTTTTTATAATAGGGTACCTCATATTTTATTTACTCCCGATTTCTGCTCTCTCATCTCACCAGTCCATGTGGTATTATCTTATCCTGTCAAAGGAAAAGAAAAAGAACAGCGTGGTATTTGCGTTAATCAGTAATTCAGTATTCAGTACCGGCCATATGGGCCTACTAAGAGATACCAGGCATATTCAGCCCATAAAGTTCCAAGGCCCACGAGTCACATCGCTAACAGGTTGGATCTCTGTGGAGGATCGGCGCACATTGGATTTGGGAGAACATGTTATTCGCAAAGTCTAACAAGCGTCGCGCTCCGACTCCACCGCGCGACACCAACACCAGGCCACGACAGGCCGGCCCAGCAGACACCCCCTCCCCTCATCCAACGCTGCGGCCAACGCTCCGAGTTCCCAACGCTGCTTCTTTCTCCTTCGTTCTGACAGCGCATACGGGTCAACGAATCCGGTGTTGTTGGCGGAAGCGCAGCCGGAGACCGACGGTGGAAGGAGTTGCGGCGGACGACGACAGAGGAAGTTCTTGGATTCCGCCGCGCGTCCAGATCGCCGCTTGTTCTGCATATGCCCCGACGTGGTTGGGCTCCCGCTGGGGCTCGCCGGCCCTGTGCTCCTGGTGCTTGGATTAGATGAGCTGTGCTGTTATGCTGGTACTAGTAGATTTTGATTCCTGTTCCCAAGGTGTATTCGTTCTGATTTCCTCTGCAAAGATCCGCTGCTCCCTGCTGTTTTCGATCTGAAGGCCATCAAGGCCATCAACTTCGTTGCCATGTGTTAAGCATTCAGATGTGTAAGATGAAAATAATTGCTAGGTTGCAGGTGATCAGTTCCCATTGCTAGAGTACAATGTGATTGCAATGTGGTGCATTTGCGTGTACATGATGCTTAATTGGAATACAGAATTACGATACTGAATTTTATCAGGAATACTGAGTGAGCATATTGAATGGTCAGATAATGAAATACATTGTTCAGAAAATATGCAGTGTTTCATTATCTATTTCAGAGATTCAGGTTTTTTTTTTTGGTAGCTATTTCAGTGCTTCAGTTTCAGTTTCATTAGGTTCAAATGTCTTTCGTAATTGGTAGTTATTTTTGTTTCATTTTTTCTTTGTTTCATTTTGAAAACATCTAGTTCCCTAGTTGGGTTTCGGTGATTAATAACAACACAAGTATTACTGTGACTAACGTGTGTTTTGCAGAGACAAATTGAGTTAGGTCATGGTAATGATGATTGATTGGGCAATTATGGTTTTCATGCCCCTATCGATGGAAATCGTTTCGGTTTTCGAATGATGGACGACAAGATTAAGGACCAACTAATTTTAAGTGTCATTTGGTGTTGAGAGACACTTAAAGTAGTTTAGAACTTTGTTTTTTCTTTGGTCGTACTATTAAAGAAGATATAAACTAGTAGCTTGATTTAGGTGAGTCTAATGGTTTAGGTGTGGTGCACACTTGTAAAACTTAACACTATGTAGCTCAGGGATAGTCCAAAGATCAGATGGAGTCAACTTCATTCACAAAGTTTTTCGAATTGAAATGAATGAAATTAAGACAGAGTGACCGGGCGCTGAGTCCTTATAGGACCGGACAAGTCAGGTCAGTTGCTTGACACGCGCAGCAGGAACATAGGATCAACTGGACGCCGGTTCCTGGCCAGAACCGGACGCGCAGTGCTGGCTACTGTAGCACATAGGGTGAAGCGCTCACATAGGACCGAATGCTGAGGACTGTGACCTAACGCACTAGAGGTCGCGTCCAATCGACCATAGAAAGCATTCAGAGAAGGAAATAGTTAACCGGACGTTTCAGGTAGGTGACGATCGGACGCCGGTCAGAGTTCGGTCTATGTATCGGTCTGCTGACTGTACTGACATCATGTAGCCGTTGGCTACTGACCGTACACGTCCAGTCACTTTGACCTGAGGGTCTGGTCACCCCGAAAATACTGAGTTGGTCCCCAACGGGTATGTTTTAAAGTGGGGAGTATAAATACTTCTCCTACTCGTCCAACTTAGCTCTCTTGCTCATTTGTTCAGCTGAGAAACACCTTTGAAGTGCAAGGGAGTGCAAGAGCCTAGTGAGTTAGTTGAGATTTAAGAATACAAGATTAAGACCTCATTAGTGCATAGGGAGTAGCAAGTGTGCATCCACCTTTCTCATTAAACTTGTCTTGGTCAAGTGAGAGTTTGTGCTTGTTACTCTTGGTGATCGCCATCACCTAGATGGCTCGGTGGTCTCCATCACCTAGACGGCTCGATGGTGATTGGAAGATTGGTGATCATCCGGTGGAGCTTGTGGATGACCCAAGTCATAGTGTGAGCGGTTGTGGGTGATTCACCGCGACGGAGTGTCGAATCAGCCCTTAGAGAGCACTTGATCCTTGCGTGAATTAAGGAGGAACTACACCCTTGCGCGGATGCTTCAACGAGGACTAGTGAGGAGTGGCGACTCTCTGATATCTCGAATAAACATCGCCATGTTCCTCTTCCTCTCTTTACTTTGAGCATTTATATTTGAGCAATTCAATTCATGTCTTTACATTCTTAGCATTGCCATGCTAGGGTAGGATTAGAACCTAGGGTGTAAAATTTTTGTGCGGTAGAACAATATAAACACTTGTAGGCACCAAGGGGGTGAAATGAGCTAAGTGTAAGACTTAATTATTGCAAGAAATTTAGAATTAGTCCAATTCACCCCCTCTTGGATATCTCGATCCTTTCACATTTTTCCGTCATATTTTTATTTGGGTGCTTCAGTTTTAGTTTCAAGTTCAGATGTCTTTCGTAATTGGTAGTTATTTTTTGTTTCGTTGTTTCTTTGTTTCATTTTTCAGTCTTTTTTAGTTTCAAATTTCAGTCACCTTTTTAGGTTGGAATGTCATTCTAAATCCTACATATTAGTTACTTTACCTAAAATGTATAAGTTATTACAAAAGGATAGCTATTGTACACATAAGTTGCCCCAAAAGAATTTGCCTCTTAGTTTTAGTTTTCAGTAAAGTTTTTTTTTCAGTTTTTTCCGATTTTAGTTTTCAGTCATGTTTTTTAATGTTTTTTAGTTTTAGTTTTTAGTCACCCTTTTAGGTTTGAATGCATTCATAAATCCTACATATTAGTTATATAATAACTTATTTCTATTTTTCTCAATTATTTGTTTTGTTTTCTAGTTGTTAATTTTCTTTTTAGTCACTCATAATTTTAGTTTCAGTTTTTTTATCGGTTTGTACTATTGAGCCACTTATGATGAGATCTATGAAATAAGACTATGATGCATGTGTTTCAAAATAGTTTGTATATACCGGTAATTTATGTTATATATGTAATAGCTATTTATATATTAAGCGTGTAGCAACCTATATATTAACCTTCCAACAAATTATATATACTAGCAAACGTGTAGCAACTTTTGTATTAAGCGTGTAGCAACTTATGTATTAAGCGTGTAGCAACTTATTTGTCAATTTTAGTTTTCATTATTTGTTGTCATTTTCAATTCTAGTTTATTATACTTTCAGTTTTAGTTTTCTTTGGAAAAAAAATTCATTGTGTCTACTTTAATTTTCATAGTCTATTCATCAATTTTATTTTTTTTGTCAATTTCAGTTTTGTCCTGGTAACTTTACTTTCAGTGTTATTTTGTATTATTTTTTTCATTTTGTCTCCTTTCGTTTTTAGTTTCTATTTGTCAATTTTTGTTTTTTTTATTGCTTAACAATTTTAGTTTTTTTTTCATTTTGTCTATTTTAGTTTTTATTTTCTATTTTTTATTTTCAATTCTACTTTTTGTTTGTCAATTTTGGTTCTAATTTTGTGTTAATTTCAGTTTCATTTTTGCAGCAAGTCATGTTTGCTGGATTTTGTAATAACTGCCTATTAGTTGGCAACGAGTCATGTTTTCTTGTTTTTTATTATGTTGTATATAACTTGCCCCCTTAGTTGGTAGCTTATGCTATGCTTATTTAATAATTTACCCCTCCAAATTGTAGCTTGTCTTGTTTTGGCCCGCTACTCTCTTTAGGGGGTTAGTACCTTTCTGTAAATATTATATAACAATTTATTGTATTTCTATGATAATAATCGATGTGCATACTTTGTAACAACTTCAGTATATTTTTCCAGTAACTTTAGTATTACGTGGCAGTAACTCCAAGCACATATTTACACGTAAATTGCCATCGGAATAAATTTTTTTGAAACATAGGCAAGTGGGGTCTAGTTTTGTTCGCTTCATCACGTAGAACACACAGTGTGTAGATAGAATTGAAAACGGTTACATCATTCAAAAATTTATAGCTGTTTAAAAGAAAATGTTGTCTTTTTTTGTTTGCGTCAGATGACGTCATGGTTGTTAGGCTGTCCGTACATGCACTGGGAAGTGAGGAGCGCGTGGGGGGTGGGGGGCCTGGGGTCACGCAGCATGCGGAAGTGAGGAGCGCGTAGAGTCTAGGGTCGCGCGCTCGACGCTACGCGCGACCGGTCGCGCTCTATCCCGATCCTTGCCACAGGATGCCAAGCACCGCGACGGGTTTTCGCGTGCCGTAGTAAGCCATCGCACGTCACCGAACGCCGCTGCAAGACACCGAGCGACGTCGTGGGAGATTGAGTGTGTCA